ATAATTGAATTCATAAGTCAACTGAAACTAGATCACCATGGAAGATCTAGAAGCACTGGACGGCCGTTTCGTTCTGGTAAGGGACTCCTCAGCGATACGCATCCATGATCCCTCCAGTGGGATTCGAACCCAGGACGTATGCATAGCCTCTAAACCACTAGACCGTCATCTAACGGTGTTAATGCTTAAATTCAATCAATTCGCGGATATATTTGTCAATCCATTAAAAATTTTCTTTGACACTTCAGTTTATCTGAACACAGATCAATAATGAAGTTATTGACATTTTCTTCTTGAGTTTTATTTCTCCTATCTAGTAATTGTCAAGAGAACAACACAACGGTCACCTGTGAGTAATCAATATCATATATGTGGGGCTATTGTGTATTTTTCAAGCTTTTATTATCTTTGATAAGCTAGCCTAACCACAATGTCGATGTGACATGTATCAGTTGTTAGATGAATGGTGGTTGTCGATGAGGATTACCGGAATTAGGTTTTATCTTTTTTGGATTCATTAATTATATTTGTTACCATTCAAACGGATCAGTAACAATGCCATAGCGGTTAAAAAATCGCTAAAATAAATAGTTCCATGCATTTTCAACATCGATGCTGATATCATTAGTTTTACTGGACACATCCAAACTGAAGACACTCGGTAGTGCATCCGCACTAGATCACTTTTGGGTACATCATGCAGCGCACATCTTTCAACTCCTGGTCAGTTTCGACTACATACTCTTCGACGCATTGACAATTTCAAATCGTTCCTTTCATGTCTTTTGAACTGTCTAGCTTTAGAATCCTCGATCACAAAGGTGTTGTTGACAATAGCGTTGACACTCAATAAATATCCATGATATCTTTATTGCCTTTCTATCTAGGACACATTGTATTACTATCGTTATGTGTTTGGTTCAGTTGTATACTAGATTTATAAACTCTACTATCTGATTGATTGAGTCCCAAGATAGGGTAGCCCAGTTGTTAAATAAGTTGACTTTTAACCATTAGGCTGTAAAACTCAAACATAATAACTCTTCAGTTTAGGCGTTCGAGTCTCAGCCCTCTTTCAGACAATGCAGCTCATTGTTTATAAATAGGACGAGAAAAACTGTCCCATTCAATGAAAACTGTTTGCAGCTGATAAGAAACCTTGGAATATAATGAATGAATTCATATTATTCAGAAGATCTAATCTTCTTCACATTGTTATTATTCAATATTTTATTTATCATTTATGAAATATAACAGGTCAATAAAGTTGTTATTTGTTACACAGAACATGCTTTAGTTGTTTGCTATTAATTAAAATGATATCACACCATAAAATTTATGTTAAATATAGAAATGATATTTTTAAACTACTCAAAACAAACAAATAAATAGTAGTGATTGTAACATCAATTCATTGACCTAAACATGAATGACCCGATAATAATACCAGTAAAAAATAAATGGCTTTTTTTATTTCTAACTTTTTATATCTTCTGTTGAATAAGCAGGTTAATATAACGTAAAAACAAAGAGTTGATTATGAGTTGGATTTAAGACATTCGTATGAACAGGTGAACTCAATGAGTGAACATTGAAACTGAATAAATGAAGACAGGAGATGTTGTAAATAACTACCCAGTGAGTAATGGGTGATTTGGTCTACATATAAGGTGATTAATGTGTTATAGCTTGTGACCTGAGTGCCCTGTTAATGGATAACGTAATAATAACGCCGATCAGAAGCAGTGACTTATCGATCGGACCAGGGACGAGTAAAACTCGTAGGAGCAGTCTAGAGTCCTGATCGGTCCCGCTTCCTGTCTAGCCCAGCCAGTTAAGTCCAGAACACCAATCTGAGCCTCTGCAATATGACTCGTTATATTTTAAACATACTGAGTTTATATACCAATCAAACAGACCACAACGTACCATAAAATGGAAAATAACATTTATAGAAAATTTGGCCAAATGTGGAAGGCAGTGACTAATAGACAGAGCGTAATTCAAGAGTGGTAAAACGTATAATAATGGTTCATAGGTCAAAATAAAGCTTATAATAAGCGGAACATGAATATGAATAGTTTAGTTGATTAACAATTATACGATAAAACAGCCAGACAGCAGTCTGTATGAGCATATCACAATGATTCACCGTACAATTGCAAAGCGTTTAGTTATTTATGACTAAAATTATTAAGGATCACGATAAGTTACTACAGATTACGACTAATTTATTCGTCTTAGGTTTTAGCGCAATATCTTCTTAGAAGAATATTAGTTTAATTACAATCGGATAGTTTTTGCATGTTTAAACGGCTCTCAAAACGTGCAACAAATCATCTTGATGCTCTAAGGTAACCAAAGATATTCCATCCAATCACAGTCCGACAGAATCTTCTGGAATATCAACTTGGCATGCTGTGATCGGACAGTCGTATAAACCTCTTGCTTGAAGACTAGCTGGATTTTAATAATGTTACAGACCATACACCTGTTTTTCTGTACATTTTGACACTTAATGTAGTATACGTTCCTGCCGTTTTCTGTCGTTTGATTTGGGACTTGAGGGTTCTATATACTTACTTTCCGTAGTCGTATACCTATTAGCTGTAATCAAGTAGAAAACTTAACAGTGTAGAATAGTAGTAATTTAATTTCAGTATACCACTTGTTCAGTATAATAATGTTTGTACTAAGTTGATGTAAACTTTGTTGAATATAGTACGCGACATGTGTTCTTATTGAAACTCTGTGCATCTCCTCTATATACGATATTCATAAGGCAATCATTATCAAGTGTGAAAACTACGTATGAGTGAATTTCTGAAAGTGGTTCACGTATTTTCAGGGTGAGTAAATAAATCTTCTGTGGGCAATTTCCGTGTCCTTATTTGCATCATAGAAATTGAAGTGATTCCCAGTTACAAGTATTCCAAGAGTACTGCAGTTACAACATATGCATAGGGTACATTTATATCTTTATTATACCTAAAAAACTACACTTTGTACCCTATCAGTCTATTCTAAGATCAAAATCTTATTGGGTTCGAGTCCCAGTACAAAAGGGAGATTAGAATCCGTGATGTAACTCAATAATCGAATTGAGGTTTGTGTACCAGGCTTTAAGTTACATCATGTGACGGCTGATGACACTATCCGATAACTCAAACCTAAGTAGATGGATATAATCCCGATTGTTAGATCAAATTTACATATTACTGAGGTGCTCAGTTACATTAAGGTAAATCTGGATCTTAATTTAAGTGGAATCTAATCTTATCTCAATGAATCGGTAATATGTGGGACATCCAAATCCCAAGTTTAAATGTGTTATCTAACAGTTCTATAATAATCAAGTCGCTACTCCAAAGAAAGAATATGTCGTTTGATTCCTTGTTATATATAAAAAGTAGGAAATTCTACTTTAGTGACCCGTTGGTCTGACTATAGTTTGGAAGAACAAATGAGTATTCCATGAACATAATTTTCCCGTTTATTTCTGCATACTACACCTAGACTAACACTGTTTGAGCGACGGCGGTGATAAGGAGCCAAATACAAACTGAGTGGGATGAATTTATTTCTGGCATTCATCTACTCAGGCAGACACTAAAAAGTGAGGACCGGGAAAGCAAAGCGGAGAAGGAGAAATTCCCAACTCAATTTGATAAAGCGTGAGTCACCACTTGTAGCCATACAGAAAACATGTGGTGAATCGGGTAAGCAATGTGCACATGCACTCGAACAGGTAATGCGTAGTGTAACACAGGAAGACACTGGATAAAATAATTAGTCCCTACAATGACAGAGTACACATAATTGTAAACAGTTATCTAGACATCATAGTGTCTACACTATAGATTCAAGAAATCTCATTGTGTCCCATGGTTTATAAGATCAATACATATTAGGGGTAATTTTAATGTTTTTCTGTATGGTCCTGTATAATGAGTCACAGTTATCAAATGGTATCTTGTTAAAGAAATACGTAGTTCAAATGCAACACTTCCATAACAAACAGTAATGAACAAACTTATGTTTCACTAACCTCGTTGCTTATATTAATTGTACATAACCGACCTCTTTTTATAGAACCCAGCTACTCGTATTGTTTAGTATTCTTCGGATACCTTACTCTACTCGACTAGTTCTCAAATCAGAGCACGGTTGAAAAGGAACGTAATTATATTCCAAATAAACAAGATTGGATGGGATTAACAGCTACAATAACAAAACGTCAGTATACTTATAATTTTACATAAGACTCTGAAGTCTTCTCGAATTATTCGCAAGCGCTGACTGGCCAAGAATGAACCAATTATCGTATCCTAGCGTCATTCTGCATGGAACATGCATTAATCCAATACATCGCTTGTTAACAAGTATGAACTATCAATTTCTGTATTTCACTAGTTTGTTGTACCTTCATGATGAACATAACAAAACTTAATTAAAATATAAACCATAGGTTAGGAATCAGTTATTCACAATCAATTTAGAACCTCTCACAAATGTGCTTAATCTGAAGTTGACGCACTACAACAGCACAGAGATAATACTAGTAAGATGAATAATAAAGGAGTGTAAATAAGAATATCAATAATAGAAAACAAATAGATATATATAGACTTCCTAGGAAATCTTAGATTGCACTGAAGCACTAATCCTAAGCCGTTATTCAAGATCACGATTATCACGCGAACACAAATGAAGTAGCCTGGATATACAAGCATCACTCAAATTAGTGGGAAGTAGTTTCATAGATTAGTGAATTGTTTTAGCTTCTTCACCTCTAGCTTTCTTTTAACCTACTTCAACATAGACCAGTACTGCGAATTGAGGCAGGTAGATAATGATTAGAAAAATTTTTGGTAAGACTTAACAGAAATATAACGCTTCTAACTACAACAACAATAATACACAGTTATACGAATAGATTACTTTTTGGAGGTGATCTCATTTATTTAGTATATTTCATGTGAGAAAAGAGCAACTCAAAATTTCATCAGTACTTTTTATTTAGTAAACACAGATATAAAAATTATTTAATAATGTTCACAAAAAGAATCATTGTTAATTTATTTTGGAGCATCTCCACCACCAAAAATGGCGGACCAGCCTTGTAGAGGCCAATTTATGAATCTGTTAGAATTCAGATAGTTCTTGATTGGTGGTAAATTCTAGTTTTAAGAAGAAAAAACAAACAAACAAACAAAATAAATAAATGAGAATTCATCAGGTTAAACAAGAGCCAAGTACATATTATTATGAACTTACTTCTATACGCTGTTTGAAACTATTTAATTTTGGAAATCCATTCAAGCACGTTGAGTCTATGTATAAAACTACATCAAGAGCGTCATACAGCATGAAGTCAAGATGAGTTACCTATAAAGGTAAATGGGTTATAAAAAAAGTAAAAATCGGAATGGTTATACTAGTTTTCTAGAGCTGAACTTAAACCAATAGACATTATGACAATTCTTATATTTTTGATATTTGATTAAATATATGTGAAAAATTAAAGTTGCAATCTTTAAGAGATTTATGAAATAAAATTGTAGATATTAATGCCAAGATTGGACTTGATAGTCTTAAATAAATTGAGTATTGGATAGAAAATCATATTTCTAACGTCTCGTGATTTAATGTAAGCCACTTCTTTAGAGTAAATAAATAATTGAATTAAACTAACACAAGTCAGTCAGTCAGTAACAACGTGGAACTTCGTACGTACGTACATCAGTTCGAGTTGCCATACCACATTAGCACAGAGATTCAGTTATCGATTCAAATCCCATAGTGGTAGAGGTACTGAAAGTATAAGTAGAGATAGGGGACATTAAGGTTTGATGATGTTATTAAAGGAGTATAGTCCAGTGGAATAAATTTGGAAAGAAAATAAAGGACATGAAGAATTCAGAAGATTAGAGTTTGAGAGAACACAAAGAGTGGATGCACCTGCGCTATTGCAAACGATTTTGAGCCATGTCATTCAAGGTCTCTAACCATCGGTTGCTGTCATCTCGCGGTCTCCAACCAGGTAGTCTACACCTACCAACTAACACAAATTTAAATAGTATAAAGAAAATAATGAAATTATGTTTATCAACTTTATATTAGGCTAGTACATAATTATTTACAGATATGACCTTATAGAAGTTTGATTGTTATTGCATCTGAAAATATTGTTTTTATCTGACAAGAATTTAACAATATGCTTTCTATATTAGACAGATACAGTTAAATTAATAAATTACAAGTTAAATGAATAAAATCTAGTAACTTACATTATTACCATTCAAATATATATTGCGAGATAAACGATTTTCAAACATTTTCAGCATTCCAGGGAGTTGGTTAAGAAAACCAACTTTGAGAGTTTCCTTGAAATATAAATGAAATTTAAATCTATCTTACAAATTCTTTATTATATGCAATTTTTGAAACACCAAGTCTAATATCCAAAATGGCTCCCTCAATCATAGAAATTTCTGCACGTTCTTTAGGACAACCACCCACTATGAATATAGATTATAGTATTTTAATTTACACATATTGTGTTTATCAGCTATATAACGTAAAATAGCCATAGACTGTGTTAATTTAACATCACCATCAATATAATAAGGTAGCTAAATTAGTAAATTATTATAGCAAAATAGTTGTTTTACATTAGGAAAATCCAGACCTAATTTGAACTTTTCGTTTCGCCACACATCATCATCATCGCGATCATACAAACGCTCTTCATATACTTCGCCAAGATATTCCAAAAGAAGACGAGTTGGTTGTACAAGCTAAACGACAAAATAAGGTTTTAAAATTGTACAGAAATTCACACAACACAATAGACAATAATTATCATCTGCCGAAATCATAGTCTAAATAAATGATAACACGGAAATTACAAAAGTCAATTGAGTAAGCCGGTGACTTTCTAAGTGAAGTCACGAGTTCACATGTTTCGAAAAGTCTATTCTATAAACCGTGCATAAAAGTGGAATTTTAGAAACTAAATGGTTTTAGTGTTCTAACCCGAAACTATTTCATTTCTAGAAGAAAATCTTAACGAACGTTTTTACCACATCACGATGTATGAATTTACGAAGTAATGGTACTTGCATCTGTAAGAGTTGAATCTCGGTCCCATTGTCTTAGTAGTGCACCTTGACTTAAAATTTGATCGTTTATTATGAGCTGATTTTGTGGATTTCGAACATAAAGTTAGGGATGATACAACACAATGATCGTTCTTATAAGAAATGAGTTTTAAATAAATCGGTAATGATTTTTAGTCAAATGAAATATTAAGGCTTGTGCTTGGAAATTTGGAAAATGCATGTCTTTTTTATAAAGTTTGTATATCGTTAGAAATATATGATAACTAGACTACCTTACCGATGAAACGATGGGTGCATATTATTTGATTAGATGTTATTGGGAACAAACAAAGATGACCAACCGAATGTACTCAACTCGTAACAACCTTTATAAGGAAACAGATGTTTATTGGCATCTACCTTTGGATCACTCAAACGAGAACTACATTGTCAACGTCACAAAATTTAATTGCGTGTGACCATTGGTTAGAACTCTTTTTCCCTCCTTAAAAGCATTTTTGACGTCAAATTTGCGAACATTTACCAACCCCGCATTTTTACTTATAGACTAATAATCAAGATGTCGCTTGGTGAAAAAGATGATTGATAACATGGGAAACATGCATGCTTACTCGTCATCATAGTACCTAACTCATAATATGCAGTGATCTCAAAAGTACTAGTAACTATAAGGCTGCTGCTGCTGCAAAAGGCTAAAGGGTAATATGGGCTATTCGTATGTCTTTACAGTAGTTGGATGAAGAAATGTCTAGATTATTACACCCGACTTTCGTGAGACCGCATTTGGAATATGGGATTCAAGCAGAGAATCATTTTTTTTAATTACAAGGCGGATGTGATGGAACGAGTTTAACGAAGAGGGCCTAGAATGTTAAAAGCTCTCTCTGGCCTATTTTATGAAGACAGACTGAGACACCTCAACTTATTTCCTCTACATTATCGCAGAATACGCGGTGATAAAATATCGGCTTATCGTATGCTGAGCGATGACTTTGGTATTAATATGTCTTACCTTTCCCCTCCGTCTAGGGCTGATCACTTGAGAGGACATTCAAAGACCGAAATCAAATCGCCTAGGTCGGGAGTTTTGTTTGTCGCATTACCCGAATTCCCTACCAAGACACTTTCTGTTGATATATTTAAAACGAGATTGAACCTCCAGTATTACAAACTGCGAGGATTAATATAGGTCGGTAGAACTCTTATCCTTATAACCAAAGACTGAATATTAGACTGAGTGGTCACAAACTCAGTTATTTGTCTACCGAGTCACTGACAGACTTCTATGGATATCTCACATCGATGATTTCTACATACCCATAATTCTCCTTACAATAACTTGTTGCACTAAGCGAAATTAGTTAGCTCGAAGAGCATTGATATGAAGCAGTCTACAGGTTGGAAAATTTCCAAACAAATACAGACATTGATATCGAGGGGAACTAAAAGTAAAGCACGAACTACCATTTTGAATCTGCTGAAAGAACATACACATCACAGTACTGTGACAGTACAACGAACAGCAAGTTATAACATGAAATCCAACCATTTTTCATATGAACTTTACACAAAGTTAAGCTTCAGAAGAAACTAAAAGAATCTCGACGTTTTTCGGGGGAACATGAGGTCTAAACTGGTTTTCCTTAATTCATGGAGAAGGATATTTTCTTGTCTCAATTTAGAGGTCATTAAAAATGTAGTGAGTCATGAATACCTTAGGCCTGGCACGAGTAAATGACCCTTATTTAACTATCTTCAAGAGGGAAATATTTTGGAGAAGTGCATAAGCAGAACTTAAAAACAAGACACTCACGCCTCTGATTTTCCAGTAGCCGAGCTTAGGAGCCATGATCAACGGATGAGTACAACTTCAAATGAGTCTCATGGAATATATATTCAATTTGTTTTACTAATCGTAAGAATTATCTGATGAACATCCAATATCATTGTGAATAGTTAGTACAGACAAGTTGACTTCTTAGAACTAGCTCGTTGGCGTTAATTTGCATCTCACATATTTTTTGTTCAAGTTACGTTTATTTAAACCTCCGACTTCACGAGTGCTAGTGAGCTGTCATGTTAAGTTTTACTTCCTCATTGTGGACATAGACTAGCGATCAGAAACTGCTAACAGACCCTGTCTTGGGAAATCCTTTCCAGTTTTTTCCAGTTCCTATTCATCCTATTCATGTCTGCTTCCAATTCTCGACTCAGTGTGTTCTTTGACCTTCCTCTTTTTCGTTTCCCTTTCAGGATTCCAGGCTAAAGCTTTCCTAATGGTTCAGTTTGGTGATATCTGCACTGTATGGTCTGTCCACTTCCTTTCCTGATCTGTTCAGCTGGAAGCTGGTTTATCCTCTTCCTTAGTAGGCTGTTGCTGATGGTACCTGACCAACAGATATTGAGCATCTCGCGTACACAACTGTTTATAAATACCTGTGTACTTTTGGTGACGGTTATAGTAGTTCCCCACTTTTCATCTCTGTGCAGTGGGACTGTCTTGACGCTTGTTTTGAAGATTCTGACTTTGATATTGGTTGACAATCGTTTTCAGTCCCATATGTTCATTAAGTGTAGGAATGCTGCCCTTACTTTACTAATCCTTACCTTTACGTCTGAATCAGATCCTCGTTGCTTATTGATGATGCCGTCCAGGTAAGTAAGACTTTTCACCCCTTCCATAGCTTCCTTATCAAATGTGACTTGGTTGGTGCTTCATGTGTTATAGTTCATAATCTGGCTTTTCCCCTTGTGTATGTTAAGGCCTATAGTCACAGAATCTGATGCTACAGTGGCTGCCTTTTCCTGTATTTGTTGGTATGTATGCGATAGAAGAGCTAGGTTACTTGCAGAGTCCAAATCGTCTAGTTACATCCAACCTATCTATTGTATTGTGTGCTTCTTCTGAGATGTGGTCTTCATAATCCAATCGACGACAGCAAACAGCCTTTGTATGAAACCGGTTTTTACTTGCGATGTAACCGTCAGCCGACCTCTATCCATGACTTAACGGTATAGTCCGTCGTAAGAGTCTCATATGGTGTTGAAGATCTTGTCAGGTACACCGCGGTGTCGAAGCAGGTTCCTTGATTTTCTCCCATCCACGCTGTCGAATGCTTTCTCATGATGCACAGTGATCCGTGTAGTTGAGATTTTTTGTACACGACATTTTCTTACTGAATCTGGTCTAGTGATCTCAAAATTCGCCATCTACTAAATATTTCATTCGATTTGATAACAATCTATTTTAAACTTTTCCTGGTACTGATGTTAGTGTGGTGCTTCTGTAGTTTTGACACTTTCTGAGATTGCTTTTCTTTAGTATCTTGATCAGGTGTCCTTCTTTCCAGTCTGTTGACACTTGTTCTTCCTCTCAATTCTTCCAGAGTGAAACTTCAAGCATCTACGCCTGACTTCAATGCTTCAGCTGGTACATTTTCTGGTCCAGCTGTTTTTCCACACTTGATTTATCTGGTATGCATGCTGATTTCTTCAATTATTGTTGGAGCGGTATCCATTCTACTTTAAATACATCATGTAAGGCATGGTACCTTTTGCTGAGTGTTGTTCTGGATTCGTTGAGTTTATGAATATCTCAATGGAAGGTAGTGATAAACTTTAGTATTGCTGTTTCTCCAGTTTTCCAGTGTTTCTTTAACTTCATTTTCATCTTGGACCAAAATCAACTGATGATCTGAAGCTATGAAGGCTCTTCACTTTGTTTTCACATCTACCATTGACCTGACATTTTAGCTATGCTAATGTGATTGATCTGATTTTTCTTAGTGTAGTCTGATGGAACCCCTATCGCTTTACTCATGCGTTGGTGGGAGAACATAGTGCCACCTATAACTGTTTTGTTAGAGGTATATAAGTTTGCAAATCCCTTACGATTCTCGTTCCTTTCTCCCGTTCTATATCGTCCCATGATATCTTCCTACTTGGTGTTGTCCACTCCGGCTTTGGCGTTTAGGTCTCCCATCAGAACTGTCAGACCCTATCCTGGACACTTCCCTACCATCGGCTGTCACCTCTCATAAAACCGATCTTCATTTTCATTGCTATCATTGGTGGGTGCGTAGCACTGGATGACATTCATTGTGCTCCCCTCCTTTATTTAGAAGGGTGTCCTGATGACTCTGAATCCATGAGACTCCCATCCTATGAGTACTTTTTATGCTTCTTTGGACAGCATCAGTGCAACTCCTTGTATATGTAAAGCATTTCCTCCTAGAATCCTTTCGATTGGTAATATAGTTTATTATTATGTCAGGATATACCCTTAACTGTTTAAAATTAACACTCTCACCCTCCCAACTTTTCATGACATACCATTCTGACCTGACCGTATTGTAGCGTGATTGTGCTAAATCTGAGAACAGATCGGGAGACAAACGTTTGGGGTACTCTAAAGTAGTGAAAGCGCGAGTCCAACGGGCATATTATATCTAATATTTATAATGACGATTTTGTGGCAGTATCGATTCATAAACACATGAGCCTCGAAGCTGGACATGAAATAACTAGGAAACTTCATATTCAACAGTTAGCGCGAATTCGACAATGATGGAAGTAGGAAAGATTGTTCGGTATGACATAACTCGGTCATGCTGGTGTGTTCATTATATGTGACTTATTGCTATACAAATAAAATTTATTATTCCACTCACAGTCTAAATGTTTCTTCGAGAATATTAGACGTTGTATTGTTAATTCTCTCGATGGGACGACTCAACGTGGAAAATGCCGTGAGTTCCACGTTTGATCTTATAGATTTGGCAGCCATATCATAACATATCTACAATTTTAGGATTAGATCTATTGTTATAAAAATAATAATGAAGTAGACCATAATTTTACATTGGTGGGCTCGAATAAATAAATGCAGCCTATTATTAATTCTCATTTGAAATTTAACTTTCTTGATCGATTTTTACTCATGCTAACCCATCATTCTATTAGTCCTTTGAATGATGATCACGTATATTATCATATTGTAATGTTGATTATTACTCATAACCTGCTAGCTCAATGGATAATAATAACAGGTCATCTATATTGATTATTACTACGATGGTTCACTGACAAGCTCCAAAAGCATTTACATGCTTCAGTGAAACGAACTTGTTAAAACATCATACTCTAGCAAATATGGGCGTTAATGGACGTAAATACACATTGGATGGCAGTGTTAACAGGGACTATGTCGTTATCTGGATCCGATTCGTGATCTCGTTTCTTCACCTAACATTTTACCCCATTTTAACTTATGTGCCATCGTTTAGTATCTTTTCTTTCGACCACTGCCTGCCTAATTTCCAATCTTCGAGTTCCGTCGCCAAACAGCGAAGTCAATATTCCAGAAACTTGCGATTATTGGATTTGTACTGAATAAACCGAGCTACAAAACGTTAACAGAATCACACACCCTAGAATTGCTTGCAATACTGCATGTTGTGTCTGGTTCCTTTTGAGTATATACTACTTGTTGCAGTCGGCTTTTCATATGTCAAATCTACCGGATAGTCTAAATTCGGAAAATAATCCAGGAGAGTTTTGCTATTTTTCTAGATGATCTATCATGTTCTTGATGCTTCTTGACATGTACATATTTTGACTTGGACTAGTCATATATATTTCATGTGGACCACTCCCAAAACCGTGTTTAGTATAATATATATTCAACAGCTTCAGATGATAGCATACTACTATGCGAAATTCAACCGTTTTCAGGAGAACCACATTAGGCTCTTCATTAATTTGGCCCATCCTAGTTTTTTTATGTCACTAAGCTAACTACTGTTACCTGTTATGAGGAGTCTATATTAAACCGGTTACGTTTCTAACTGTAGTTTCTTGAGCCATGTCTCAACTTTCGAGTTTTCTTGGTCAGGTCTTTCTTAGTTTCTATTTTCCTCGTAAACGCACATATTAATCTAACGTATACATGCGTTGTATTATATCATCTCTAGGCTATTCGAATTTAGCAACTATATGAACTACCCTGAACATTATACACCGAACCCATCATATTCGTTGTTGCTACGCATATTTGCTTATAAACCGTGCTATCACATTAGTTGTATAATTAGTGTTTTTTAACAGGATGTGAAACATAAAGCTAGTATATAGGACATAACTGCAATCTAATCAACACCTCAAAAGGGCTCAACATCAAAATTGGACGGAGAGTGATGTTGTAACAGCTCAGATTATGTGATCAAGAATTGGCTGAAAAAATATTGCTAACGTCAACACCTTATACCTCAAGTGTTTATTTACTTCCTTGTTTTGCGTAGGTATTATATTTCTGATTCGTTGTAGTGAAAGTACTACCCGATTTTGACTCCTTCATCGTCAAAACCAAACGCTGGTGTAAGACTATAGACAACGAATCATCTATCTTTATCAGACAGTCAAAGAATCTAGAGGCTTTTTCAGGGAGAAATAGCAAATGATAGGTTATCATCAAAGCTTTTAAGGCACCTTCAATTCCTAGTAGGCGACAACACAGTGGGTCAACGGTCCTAAAATGAGGATGGATACAAGCTCTCCCATGCCACGTTCAACACTGTAATAATGTTGAAAACCAGGACACATCTTAATCTCACATGGCGCGCATTGTAAATAGTAATAATTTGTTCTTAAATAGCAGTTTGTTACATGAAGCATGCCAGTTTAAATGCAAGATCAAATTGTTACGAATGATACAATTTTGAACTGTAGTAAATTACTCAGCTGGGTTGATAATTTATAAGATATGAATGTAGATGGTTTTAGTCAGTATCACAGTTGGCGCGCTTCACGAAAGTTGCGTTGCGACGTGCAAATCATGGTCGACAATAGATTCAATGAAGTTGGGGGCTTCTAGAAATCGCAACCTTATATCCGTTTTAAATATCTGAGGCTTTAAGAATGGTACGGGACAAGGTCACCAGTTCCGTATCTCAAGGGGGCTAAAAAATGGTGTAGGAGAAAAAAAAGACGAGAAGCAGAGCAGACAACA